TTACTTGCTCCACATTAGATCTTTTGTTCAAAATTGGACAAAATGAATATCTATTTTGTATCATGGGCATGGCCTTCTTATGAGAAACTCACCTTGGCTGTCCGCTGTCCTGAACTCTGCTATATGGGTCAAAGGATTAGCATGCATGTGCTTAACTTGAACATGTATTTAGATTCTTATGCATGCATAGTTTTGCACCATTAACGTAGCATATGGAATTGGCACTAGTTTGAGCGAGACTAAATTTTTTACCGTAATTGTGATTGTTGTCACAGTTAAAGATGGAAGCATGGTTTGAGCTGGTTTCGTCTTTCGATCCCTTGATGAAATAGTAGCCCAATATACGAAGAATTAGAAAATAGAATTCTATTTCTCTAAATGATGGCAGATCAAAGTATTGTTTATGTTTAATTTATTGGAGAACAATGGATCAATTATCGACTTATACAGAGTACAAACTTTTAATTTTAACACTCCACTGCCAGAAGTAACTCATTAATTGAACTATTTCTATCATATATCTTCTGTCCTCTCAGTAGCATGGTTGTTCACGTCATTGTCATTTGTTTATGCTCACATCTTTGCTGACCCTGATTTTCTGGCTGCAACTATTTCTAGATCATCTAGAAGAACTGGAGCAACTTCTGAAGGGGATTGCCATGATGAAAGAGTTGACACCACGAACGAGAGACAATTTAGTTTCATTTGGAGAGCGCATGTCCACTAGGATCTTTGCTGCATATCTAAATAAAATGGGTGTTAAGGCTCGCCAAGTATGTACTCCTGGTCTGCTCATCTAAGTCATATTGAACTAAAAAGCTTCACTTTTTATTATAGAGAAAGTTTGTCTAGCTAGGAATAAGTTATTCAGTTTTTATCTATAGTCACTATCCCTAGTGACTTATTGCTAATTTATTGTTCTGGCAGTATGATGCATTTGAGATTGGTTTTATTACCACCGATGACTTTACAAATGCGGATATTCTGGAAGCAACTTACCCTGCAATTGCAAAGAGATTATGCGGAGATTGGGTCTCTGACTCTGCTATACCAGTTGTAACAGGCTTCCTTGGAAAGGTCTAATTGATGCCTTACTTTTCAAACTCTTCTTTTCATTTTTTTACCCCTCTGGATGTTTGCTTTGCTGAATTGCAAACTCCTGAATTAGAAAACTGATATATTTCCTTTTATTTCTTCTTCTAGGGCTGGAAATCATGCGCAGTAACAACACTGGGTAGAGGTGGTAGTGATTTGACAGCTACAGCAATTGGTAGAGCACTGGCGTTGCCTGAAATCCAGGTTAATATATAGAAACCTAGTTATGCATATCAAGAACGTAGCATGTCAGTGGACTTTGTTCGTATCTTGAATGAGAAGCTTGATATCAAGATTGGCTGTGTCACTGGGAATTCATTCAATAAAATTCAGAATGTATATGAAACATTAGCATCCGTTGCTGCATAATGATCTGCATAACTTCATTACCTTTTCAAGATTAAATATAGGAGAAAAGGAAACAAATTGATTGTAGTCTCTTAAACAGGTATGGAAAGATGTTGATGGTGTTTTAACCTGTGATCCAAATATATGCCCACAAGCAGAACCTGTCCCATATTTGACATTTGATGAGGCTGCTGAACTTGCTTACTTTGGTGCTCAGGTATTGTTATATTTACTCTCGAGTTCTGCTGATAATATCCTATGCAGCTTCTCCCTTGTATATACAAGAATTTAAAGATGTGAGAATGACATTTAAAGCCATCTCAAGAGAATTTATCACAACAAGGGCCTATCAGTTTTTTATATTGTATTGTGAAAATATGTATACGTTGTTATTAAAAGCTAAACTTTAACTTGATAAATTTCTAAGGAAACCATAATAAAAAAAAAAAAATACAAGTCAAGGTTCATTTTTTAACTACAACATATATGTTTTCACAAGACGATATTCGATACAAAATTAATGGGCTCTTATTGTTATAAATTCCCTTGGGAGGGCCTTAAATGTCATTCTCCCTTTAAAGATTCTAGTTTGCCTGCCTGCTTGTGCCTTTAAGTTGGCTCCGTGTATCATTGCTTTAATGTTATATTATTTGTGAATCATTAATACCTCATGATGGCAGCAGTACCCATACTGTATGTGTCTCCAATATTGATAGTCTTGGTATGTATCTCAAGATTATCATATTTTCTTTGCCGGAAAACAGTGCTTGATCTGTTAAAACAAGTGATCACTCATAATGTTGTTGACAGCATGATTCTTAGGGGACCAAATGATGGTACTTTCAGTCTTATTTTAATGCATTGTCAAAGGAAAGTATCAGTCATTTCTCCAATATGTTCCTTTTGCAGGTCTTGCATCCACAGTCTATGAGACCTGCTAGAGAAGGTGATATTCCAGTTAGGGTTAAAAATTCTTACAATCCAAAGGCTCCGGGTACTGTCATCACCAAGACAAGGGATATGAGTGAGGTTTGTAGCAATTCGTTATTGGAATCAATAATAACTAAATGACACTATAATCTGGAAAACTAGACAATGTTAAAATTTCCCTTTTCACTTGCAGGCAGTACTTACTAGCATTGTTTTGAAGCGTAATGTTACCATGTTGGATATTGTTAGCACTCGCATGCTTGGTCAGTATGGCTTCCTTGCTAAGGTGAGAAAGCTAATGCCTAGGGTAGCTGTACAAATGATTGATCAACTTCAAGTCTTCATTCTCTCTTATTTATGCAGGTTTTTTCAATTTTTGAAGATTTAGGAATATCAGTGGATGTTGTAGCTACTAGCGAAGTCAGTATTTCCTTGACATTAGATCCATCAAGGCTTTGGAGCAGAGAGCTGATTCAACAGGCAAGTGTACGACAATATGCTCCTTTTCAAATTTCTGTTTCTTGCATTTGATTTGCATGAGGGCTTCTAGTTTGTATAACTAGATGTGGGTTTTGAGCATTGCATGAGTCTAAGATGAGCATATATGCAGCTTTGTATAAATTATATAAACTGACGATTTGTTCCTTTTGTTGAATCCATGATTATGTTAATCATATCCTATTGTGTTGGATTTATGTAATCCAGCCATTGCATGAATCTGAGTGCCTGTCACCCATTCTTTTTGGGCAGGAGCTTGACCATGTTGTTGAAGAACTGAAGAAAATAGCTGTGGTAGATCTCCAACAAAATAAATCCATCATTTCTCTCATTGGAAATGTTCAGAGGTCATCATTGATATTGGAGAAGGTTCAGTATAGCGTTCTCTCTGTTTGAATGTTAGTCCTTGATTTATGCCGAAGTTTTTGCTTTGTTGTATCCAGTTTTGATTGATTTTTTCATGGCTAGGACCATCCCATTATCTGGGTCCTTGCTCCTTCTCTTCTGTTCTCTATCTGACTTTGGGCCATTGTCAATATCAACATCTTGGACTAAAGCCCACAATTTTATACATTGTTTCTTGCCTTATTCTGGCTCAAGCTGATTTAAATCTGCTAGAAATTGTAAATCTTGTTTGGCTGTTTATTTTAACTAATAATTACTGATCGGTATGTTACTGCAGGCATTTCTTGTTCTCCGAACCCTTGGGGTCACTGTTCAGATGATCTCTCAGGGCGCATCCAAGGTATCCATCTTATTCACTCTTTATTTTTTTTCCACGTAAGCGCTATTAGGTAGTTGTCAACCTTTTCATTGCCCAGCACACTAGGCTCCATAGAATATCTTCGGTTAACCATGCTCATGAGTGCATTCATTCTTACCTTCTCATAAAACGTGTTTGGCTAGCACGAGATTTCTCACCCATGTGTTACTTCATGTCTTCTAATTCTAGCAGCTTTCTAGACTAGGGAGTCACTCACTGACGAGTCAATAAGCTAAAATTTTCATTTTGATGTTACCCTTCTGATCATTCTGTCTCATTCTTGACAGGTTAATATCTCGATGGTTGTAAATGATAGTGAAGCAGAGCAGTGTGTCAGGTCGCTCCATGCGGCTTTCTTTGAGAGTCAACTCGCTGACGAGAAACAATACAAATCTGGAAATGGTTCTGTTCCAGCATCATCATAGTCAACGCTTGAGAGCCTCCTTGCAGAAATATACGTCATTCTCAGCTCATCAATATTAGCACGTTCTCTCACCTTCCTTTGTGCGATGGAAACGCAGGACAGCTTGGGTTGGGAATTTTAGGTTATGTTTTGTTACCTATAGCTCGTTCTAAACCAGTTGAAATTTGGTCCCAAAAAAAAACAAAAAAACAAAAGAACGAAGAAAGCGGCTATTATAAACACGGGAGCCGGAAGTTCTTGTTACTTCTCGAGAGTTCCCTTTGCGCCAGAAATGATTATGGTCCTTGTGAAATGAGCTGAAATGAGCAAGGAGCCTGTGATTGTATAAACCAGTCGGAGTCTATTTCAAGACAAGAGCTGCATTAGTCAACAGGGATACATGCATATTTGATTCATATTCTACAAATTTTGAATATCTATATAAATTCAACTCGCGATGTTAGTATCACTATATTCAGGTTAGGTTTAATAAAATAAAATAAAATAAAATAGAAGGATTTATAAATTTAAGTATTAGAATTTTGAGTTGAGATATCATCATTGCTTATTACTCATCTGTTTTTTCTACCCATTTTCAAACAATTGCTTTGCAAAAAATGTCGATATTCACGGATAAGGTGAAGCAAAGTTATGAAACTATTATAAGGATGAAATGGTTAAGAAACACTTTCGCTTCTCATTTTTTCAACATTATCCATGCACAACATTTTTATGCAAAATATTATACTTTATTTGAATGACTTTTAATTACCTCATGCATTATAAAAAACCAACTAAAAGTTAATTAAATAATTTAAATTGTCAAAAAGCTACATAGTTTCTAATATTATCCTTATTAATAGTATTAAACTCTTAACATCATATTAAGTGGGCACTCTTGATATTATATTTTACAACACTAATGATTTCAATATGAACTTTAGCAATGAGCACCTTTTTATTTACGCACAAAGGACATATACAACAAAAACAAGAAGTCTAATAAATGGGGTGGATCATTTGAATTACACGATATTACTATCACAAATATGTAATGAATACTAATTAGGACTAAGAACACACGCAGCAGGAGCACGACTATAATTGTTCTCTTCTCACCAAATCATTATATTTTCAGCGATAGTATCTTCATTTCTAAGAAATATGGCTTTCAGTGTCGGTTCAAGTTACTTGGTCTAAGTAACGGTTTTTTTTTTAATTGACCAAAAAATCATGCATTTTGCTCTTACAGGAGAAATCAAGTCAGGGATTTAGATTGTCTCCAAAAAAAAAAAAAAAAAGACTACCAGTAATCCCCGCAAGAGCAAAATCCATTTCTAAAATGATGGAATCTGCTTGAATCCCTGACTGTGATTTCCCTTTTAGCTATTTTGGAGATTACCTTGATGGCCGCATGGCAGTCAGTACATGCTCGGAGGTTCTTCATCACCAGGATAGGTGTCCCTTCTGGCGTGCTAATAAGTGCAAACGCAATGGCAAGACGCTCACTGTGATATTTAAGAGACTCTATCTTGAGTTCCTCATCGATATCGTGAAGGGTACAACTTGGGTCGGGTTTGTACCCTTCTTTCTCCATCTGCTCAGCCAGCTCATCAATCTTCTTCCTAATCTCTTCCATTTCTGGGTGAGCCTTGTCATTGGCTAAGAAAACATGAACTTTATGTTTAACTTCTACCCAGCTGTAAGCTGGGACTTTTCTAACTCCTCGCTCTCTCATAGCCTTCTTTACCACGCTTACGCTATCCCATTCACCAGCTTCTGCATAGATATTGGACATGCTGACATATGGAGCAGCGCTTCTAAGCACTTTCATATTGAATAGCTTGTCTGATGCTTTCTTTGCTAGCTCTTGATTCTTATGAATTCTACATGCGTTAAGAATTGATGACCACATTATTTCATCAGGTTCAAAGGGCATCTGAGCGATCAGTCTCTCAGCTTGGTTAAACCTTCCACTCCTACACAGCATATCAACCATTGAAGCGTAATGTTCTCTTTTTGGAACAAGTTTATAAGTTTGAGTCATGGAGTCGAAATATTTTAATCCTTCTTCAACCAGACCACAGTGGCTGCAGGCACACAAAACACTAAGGAAGCCGACTGAATCTGGTTGCAAACCTGAATGGACCATTTGTTCAAATGATCTAAGAGTAAGGTCACCGTCTCCATTTTGTGCATAAGCTGAAATTAGTGCATTCCAAGAGACGGAATTCCTTACAGGCATCTCTTGAAACATATGAAGCGCATCTTTCATGGATCCACATTTTGCATACATGTCAAGCAGTGCACTTCCAGAGAATACATTTGAAATGTATCCGGATCTGATTATGTACGAGTGTAACTGCTTTCCCAGTGAAAGTGAGGCTAAGCTTGCACAGGCTCTTAAGATGCTAGCATAAGTGGCTGAATCAGCACCTATTTTGCGCTTCTGCATCTCAAAGAATAGAGTCAGGCCTTCTTCATGGAGTCCCTTCTGAACATAAGCTGATATCAAGGCTGTCCAAGGAACTGAACTTTGATGGGTAAGATTTGCAAAAATCCCATTTGCTTCGTCAAATTTGCCACACTTAGCATACATGTCAACCAAAGCATTTCCAACCTTAATTTCGGAATCAGCACCTGTCACAATAACTTGGGAATGAATTTGCCTGCCCAATTCCAGGTTTAGAGTATTTGCAGCGATGCTCAATATGGTTGAAAATGGGAATTGCCTGCGGTCAAATTTAGTATACTGTAATGCCCGGAAAAGATCAAAAGATTCTATGAGTTGGCCATTCCAAGCATAACATGTAATGAGTACATTGTAAGAGACGCCATCCAGTTCTGGCATCTCATCGAAAAGTTTCTTCACTTCAGAAACACAGTCATGCTTAGAGTAGAAATCAAGTAATGCATTAGCCACGAACACATTCCAGACAAAACTTGTCTTCACTACAAAGCCATGAACTTGCTGCCCAAATACCATGTGATCCAATGCCACACCTGTGCATAAAATAGCGGCAAAAGTAAAATCTGTAGGCCTAAAACCCAATTTCTGCATTTCAAAAAAGAGATTTATTGCTTCTTGATGCATTCCATCTTTTGAGAGTCCTGTCAATAATGCATTGAAAGAGACAGAATCTTTATCAGGCATATGTTTGAACAGGTGACAAGCTAAACTAAGACTACGGGTCTTACAGTAAGAATCGAGCAAGGAGTTGGAAACCATTAAGGTTGAATCATACCCCAGCTTAATAATATGGGCATGAACTTGGTTTACATGGCATACAGAGTCAGACTCACTGAATCCGGACAGGAGAGTGGCAAAGGTGATATAATCTGGGTGTGTGCCCCACCTACACATCTCAGCAAAAAGACTAAAAGCTTCGTGACCTTGATTGTTTTGAGCAAATACTCCGATCAAGATGGTCCAGGTAACCGCCGTACGTTCGGTCATTGAATCAAACAACTGCCTGGCACTAGAAAGATTACCAGCTCTTATGTACCCCATGATCATCATATTTTTGGAGATGGTATTCTGTTGAGGCATTTTATCAAACAACTTACGGGCTAGTCCTAAATCCCCTCGTTGGATAGAGTTCTTGACCTGGAAATTCATACGACACGTGCTGGGATTGAAGCCAGTCTTGACGGAAAAAGCATCCGTAAGGTTTTCAGGCTGAAGGAGCGGTCTTGGAGATAGCGAAGCTCTTAGAGGAGCAATTGTCCTCATGTATGGCTTCCTCATAATTTACCAAAAAGAACCCAAACTCGGAGATGCAGTTTGGCGCGAAAATGCAGCATCCACGAGGGAAATGGCTTCCGCTTCATGCCCAACTATAACCCAAAAATGCCAAGAGCCCAAATCTATCTGCAGCGTCAATATATTTCGATAATGCAGTGAGAATGTGGGATTTCAAAATTTGTAATAGTCTGAATTAATATTTATGGTTCAACTTTTAAAAAATTTCTTAGTACCTAACTATTATTTAATTGAAATTTTAGAAGCAAATTATTATTCTCCCTTTTATTAAAGAGCAGTTGAACTCAAACTCTGTGCATTGCATGAGTAATAAACAATTCAGATGACAACAACATCAATTTCAATTAGCACCATGTGAATTAATTATATTAAAGTAGAAATATAACTACTCCTTTTTTGTTAAAAATGTAAAGTATTTTTAATTAAATCTCACTCCCAATAAAATAATTACCTACTTTTAAATTAACTTTATCTTTTACAATTACCTCTATTAAATACCCTACAATAAATATAAAGTGATTAATCAATACAAACACTTAAAAAAAAAGACAATAATTACATCTTGAAATATTAAAAATATTTTACATTTTTAAACATTTAACTCTTCAAAAAATATCTTATATTTTTAAACGGAAGGAGTATAAGGTAGGATTTAAATAAAGTTGGATAGTAAACATATTTTAGTTGTTAAAGTTTCAATACTTGATTTTTCATTCTATTCTAATCATGTATATAATTGATTACATATTTTTGTAAAAAAATTCAAACAAATTTAACTTAGGTTATTAATGAAATTATAAAAATTTCAAATCAATAAATGCCTTTAAATTGGTGTACTAACTATTATTTGTTCTCAAAAGTAATTTTGACAAAATAACTAAAAATTTAACCACATTAATTTTCAACTATCTTTCACGGAGAACATTTAAGTAGTTAACCTTGACCCTTAAAAAGATGACAAAAAAATTGAAGTCTTGCATTTCAAGAATTGATGAAATCAAATAACTGTAATTGAAATATTGTAAGTGGACTTGAGCCTCCCATCAAATCTAAATCTGTTAAACTCAAATTCTATGTGTTTCACGAATGATAAATAATTTAGATGGAATTAGTAACTTCACTGAAAACAATGAGAATGAATTGTTTTAACATTAGATATATAAAAGTGAACCTAATTTTTTTTTCTTAGAAATCAAAACTACCAAATAAATCATAGATATTCTTAATTTAGATCATAAGAATTTAAATAATGACCGTGACTTAATATATTTCAAATTTTAATTTCCAGTACTTATTTTTTCATGCAATTTTAATCATGTCAATAAATATGTAATTCATGTTCATTGAAAAAAGTAGTGAATTCGAAATGTATGTTACCATACGGATCATTAAGAGACAAAATTCCGTTAAATTTAATGAAGGTAAATAAGAAACTTTTTAACGTTCTAAATGAATTAACACTTTTTTATGGTGAAACGGTTATTATATCTTCAAAAAACCTCTAACAGTTTATTCATAAGTTTACTTTTGACATTAAACTTCCTGACATAAATTTGAATTATTAAAGGAGTTATGATTTTCATACAACAATTAGACAATTTAATAGTAATTTTGTCTAATGCTAAACTTCTTAGTATAACTTAAATTAATAACAATTAATAAAAATTATAAAATATCAAATATTACAACAAAGCTAAAAGTACAATCTAATTAATTTTCTTACTGTCAACTAAGTATTAAATAAATTTATATAGTTTGACTAAAAAATAACTTCGCATAGTAATTGAAAGTATTTCTTAAATTTTCAAAAAAAAGAAAGAAAGAAAGAAAGAAAGTATTTCTTAAATTATCGATCCTTCATCCAACAAACTTCTAGAGTTAAACGCTGCCCGTTATGCGGAAGATAGTTGATTAAGATGAAAAGAACATTTTCAATTAATAAGTGTGAATAAATAACTTAAAATTAATCAGATGAAATATGCAAAGAAAGAGAACGGCTTCAACTACATCATGCATATTCATAATTTAAATAATGTGAATGATTACGTAGATTTTAATTTTGATCATTTAAATTTGATAATTTTAAATGTCAAATCTTCTGTAAAAAAAAAAAAAAAGATTCGATACACAATTTGATTTGCCAGTTATTCCTCGTGCATTGCACGAATAAGAAGTTTGTCAAATGAAATCTACCAACATGAATATTTCAATTCAATTCTATAAGACATGAAGAGCAACATGAAATATATAGTAAATTGTACAAACAGGATTGAGAACAAATACAAAACTACTTAGAGAACTGTCTGTAGCCCTAAAGTATTGTAGACAGATGGAGCTCGATCATAAAATTGAGCTTATAAATTTTCTTAACGTTATCTCTAGTCTTTCCGAAAATCTTTCAATTTGCTTTCTCTATTTCCTCATAAAATTTACTTCTTAATTTGGAATCTCGAAGATGGGTAGTTTCTAATTTAATTCTCACCCCAAAAAATATAATCTCACAAATAAATTATTATCAATAATGTCCTTTTCAACAATATACTGTGGGATAAAATGGGCACATGCAATGATAAGTAACAATTACTTAGTCACCTACCAAATATGTAGATCAGTAGATGATAGAAGAATGAGATAGTTTCATTATTGATAATTATTTAAATGAGGCAAAATTAAAAATTAGAGACTACCTATATGTGAGGAATCAGATTGAGAAAGAAATTCTATGGAAAATGGGGTTTAAAAAAAATAGAACTCAATCACGCAATCTGTCTTTTTCTAACATGAAGGACAGACAGACTTACAAGTAATTTGTGAGATAAAATCTTTTGAACTACAAGATGATGCGTTTCAATAAGATACAAAATATAAAATGAGAGTTAAAAACTCTTTAATTTCACTTGGTGTATACAAAATGCAGCATTTAATGTCTAGTGAGATTTAAGTAGATACAAACATGTTTAGCATGTTTTAGGAAGCCATGAGACACAATGTTTAGATATAAAAGGTACGTCAAGCAAGCAATTCAAAGAATGCAAAAGCACTGAATATGCATCTTGATTGAAAAATGAGGCATTAATCACCGAGAAGAGCAAACATACCCATAATGCATTGGATCATCATAAATGGTTTCTCTCTTAACAGGTAATGGAGGGCATAATTCATCTCCATTTTGACCACCGCTACTTTCAAGTTTCAAGGTAGTATCTTTTTTCAGTTCAGTGAATTAATTATGGAAGGGAGCAGCGTGACCAACAAATGATACAAATTATAACATAAACACATGGCAACCAATGCCTATATTACCTTGAGGGGTGACCAGTCCAAGAATCAACATTTTTTGTTGGAGGATAATGTGATGATGATAGATGTGACCCTGCCCCCACCTTCATTACAAACCAGAAGTAACTGGATGGCTTCCTCGAGTTTGAAACTTGCAGCCTGTTCAAACATCATTCTTCAGAATTAGTAACTCATTCTTTGACAATGTAAGAGATAAATTGCTATAATTTTTCCTTTATCTGTTTCAATTATTACTTATTTTTCTTTATTTATCAATTTCTTGCAGGTATTTAATGCTCTAAGGAATGCCTCTGTATCCAACAAATCTAAATCCAAAGCAGCACTTGTCTAAGATAGTCATCCAAAATAAGCGAATTTTTTGGCCTTCCTCAAAAACATTTACATAAAGGATTGAACAAAATTTATACATATCAGGTACGATTTAAGGGGCTAATGGCAGATTTCATAAGGATATGGGATTCCTTCTCTCATTATGAAGAGAAGAAACTTGTGGCAAGAAATAAAATCTTTCAAATCAGGAATTAGTTGACAAGAACTTCATTTTCTTTCAACACAAATTACTATAATTATATGATTACAGAATATATCTTATTCGTGGACTTGATCAATAGTCATCACTTTGCTCTGTCCAAACACGAACAAATCAATGTAATTTACAATAATTAATATTACATATTTGATACAAAATAAATTATACCAACAGTGAAGTGCAATCTGACAAACAAATATAAATACATTTGTCAGTGACATACGTGTAACTTTTCCATATACTAATTTTTCTTCAGAAAACACTGTTAAGATATGCAAGCAATATTTAGGACCCATCAACATTAATCTTTGCTATAATAATGTCTTGGAATTATAGTTATAACGAGATGATACCTGCTTAGCAAGTTTACAAGCAAGATCTGGGGAATTGAGGATTTCAAAATAGAATGTAGAGAAGTTAAGAGCAAGTCCAAGCCTTATTAAGTGTGTGGGGCCTATTCAGCAATAGCAATATCCTAGATCAAACAAAAAAATTGGGGTTCAGTAACTACTGTAATATGAAGACTATCAAAACTATAAGTCTATTAAGTCTATTGAAATTTAGAAACTTGTACACTGTTGCAGAGTACACTCTTGGAAGTTGTTGAACGCGATCTCTTAATTAATAATATTTCTAAAAGCTTGATAAACGATAGAGCACAATGGCGTCTTGCAATCCATGTAGCCGACCCCATCTAGTGGGATAAAGGCTTGTTGTTGTTGTTGTTGTTGTTGTACACTGTTGCAGAGTAAAAAGGGCTGCATGTTGCTTAAGATTAAAATAATTGAAGCCAATTAAATAATCGCCACAAAAACATCAAAAATGGGATTTCATGCTGCTAGGATATTAAAAAAGAGACGACATGATAAAAGGCATCAAAATGCTTCAGATATATTTTCATTGGATTCCATTATTTACACCTCTAGAACTTATACATCACCACTGCTAAACCCGTGACAGTCAAAAGAGAATGCAAGTGAAAAAGATGAAGATGCTATTTCATTTAGAACATCCACTTTTATCGGTTGCAATCTCAAAACAATGGTTTGTTAATTCATTCAGAAGATGCTGCCAGATTACGAGAATCAAATGTTTGGATATGGATCTAAATCTGATTCAAATATATGTATAGTGTGTGTGTAAGAACTTAGTCATCCAAGATGTTTAATGCATTGGGGTTGAAGGCTGACTTTGGATACTTCTCAAGACTGACTTCTTTGCCTTCACCAACATCCAACCTAAATGTAATAAAATCAGTTACTCACCCAGATCCTTAGTTTTTCAGCCACTAATCAAGAATAAAGCAGTCCAGAGACAATAAAAATTATACCAATATCAATTCTAACGTAAAGTCATTCCAATTGATAATTTTTCATCCGACACTTTCATCAACCATCTAGCGTACATATAAGTTTGTCATTCAGATTCGCAAGAAATTCACATAAGAGCAGGGAAATTTGAGAGAGTGTCCAACAGCATGTACCATCAAGAAGAAAATGCGATTCACAATAACTGAGTGAATTTTTATCAGCAACCACTCAAGAAAAAACCAATGCAAAGCCAGGGAAAAAATTATACCAGTATCAATTTCGATTACTAATTTTTCATTTAGGACTTTCATCGAATACCTAGCACACATATTTCAATTCTTTCGTCTGCGATGTTCCAAGTCTGCACAATGCACTCCATTTTGCAACACTCTCGCAGTAAACGAAGAACACTCAAGTTGCTTCTTCTTCAATGTGCCATGCTTACACCGGTGCGTCTCATGTTGTGATACTCTCAATGCACTGCCAGATCTTTTCGAAGATTTACCGTTTCTTACCTCTCTTTGGTTACAGTGTTGAATGAAGGTTATCCATTTTTATTCCAAAAAAAAAAAGGATTTGCCGTTTGAAGAATGAAACAAAATGAACAAATCAGGAAGAAGAGTTACCTAAACGGTGCCATAGGTCACGAAGACATGCACGGCACTGGTAGAGCCCATTGAAGGAGACCACCAAGCAATGCACGGCGAGGCAAGTTTGTGATGAGAATGGAGCAACCGAAGCAGGGCTAAGTTATAAAATGGAGCAGGAACGGACGGTGATATCTCTCATACGGAACAGAACACCGTTTGAGGCCAGCAAAAGATACAAAAATGTTGTTGACAATGTTTAAAACAAAGATGCATTCCAATGCGTTGGAAGGCGTTGGGAGGGAGGGAATAATTAAGCATGGGAAGATGATGTGCTGCACCAACAAGAAGCCTTATTTTGCTGAGTGAATTGGCTATGTGGATTGTATAACACTGTTGTGAAAGATAAAATGAGAAAAATTGCTTTGAACTCAGAAGATGAAACTAATTCCAATTTTAAAATCAGTACTACGACAGATGAAGCTAATCAACTGACCAGACAAAAAGAAATAAAATTAAAAAAACTGGCCGACCAGGATTCTCCTAGGAGAATGACGGATAGGGAAGGGAGATATATTATTCAATCAAGACCTTATAATAAAAAAACCTGATCAATTGTCCATCAAAACAATTTACCAAAAAAAAAAAAACCTGATCAATGAGGCCTCAAAGTAAACCTTAGAGCACAATTGGCCAATATACCTATAAAGTATAATATTTAAAATTTAACTTGCTTGTTAAGTCAAACGTTTTTGGGAAATATACCTATCTAGTATAATATTTAAAACTTCACTTGTCGCATTAACTTCTTTTTTAAAAAAAAGAAAAATATTTTTATGTTTTGTCACGTTAAATCTCTCTCTCCATCTAGGCTGTCGAGGTAAATAGTCCTAAAAAAAATATTTCAAAAATATTTTTATGTTTTGCGCGTATCACATTAAAATAAAACTCGCGCGCGCGCAAGGTCGGAGCAAGTTCGTCTTTAAACAACAAAAAGGATTTTATCCAAAAGAAAAAAGTCCTCAAGCAAGCTGATGAAGGGAAGGGAAAATGAACAAAAGGATTTGAAGCTTCAACATATATGTATATGCGATATCAACATAAACTGAGTTAGTCGGAGACAATGTTGATGCTTACTTAGAAACATGGACTTCTTCCAAAGGAAGATTTATCCTACTAGGCATCAAATGCTTTTATGTCAGATTCATACTCAAAGTAAATGATAAAGGTGCGGATTTCCATTGGGCCGAGCTCCACAGATAGCTCTTTAGGATCAAGAGGCCCTCCCCTAAGAACACGTTCGTCCCCAGAAGAGCCTTCTACTTTCCACTTCAGTCTTTTTTTTCTCCATCTCTGTCCTTTCTTGATTCGCAGATAAACTCATTTCTTTCACCTCTTTGATCTAACATGAATAAAGGCACAACATTTTAGAAGACAAACAGAAGAGGGATTCAAGCCCGTTAATTTTTTTTCATTGCTTTACCTTTTTCTTAGGGAACAGCCTTTTCAGGTCCACACTTGCCATTGCAGAGAGGTCCTTGTCTTCGTCAATCTTTGCACAGATTTGATAGGCCATAAAACTGAGTGAATAAAACGAGAAGCAAATACAGAATGTGCAAATTTATAATGGTAGCGGCAAGCAACGAGCAAGAACTTGTAGTCATTCTAAGTAGAAGGTAATGAGTAAGACACATATCATAATGGCATCGGCGTGCTTCAGCCTTCCACTCAAACGTTTCTAACTTTCTAGACTAATATGATTTCTTCAGAGGACCTCCAAATTCACAAAGTGTAAACATGATTTCTTCTCTTGATAAGTTTTACGAATAAAAAATTATGAAGGTTGATTTATCAGGAGGCAAACACGGTAGGAATCCTCCTGTATGTGAAGCTGGTGAAAGCATGAGAAAAGCTTTTAAAAACTTTTAAATTCAACAGGTTCACATGAAGAGATACTTCATTATAAGAAAGTACGCACTCAGCCAACAAACAAGTACCTGAAAGGCCTGAGAGCGCAAGGTTATATTAAATAATAATAATAAGAAGAAGAAGAAGAAGAAGAAGCTCATTACAAAGCTTTGTTGAAGCATATTACATAATATACTTTTCGAGAATGCAATTCAAACCTCATATAGATGCGCTAACCGAAGGAGAACTTTTCCATCATCTAGTTCCTGCATAAGACGAAAACACATTACCTACAAATCAGATAACTTCTACTTAACAATAGACATCTATACACATATATCTAGACACGTAAATATAAAGCAGGATTTGATGCCATCGTTATTGAGTTGCCAGTAATCCAGACACCAATTTTTAATAATCTCGTTTATACAAGAGACTAGTGCCTTGATTAGTTACCTGTAAGGTTATAATTGCAATGTTGTCCGGCAATCTGTAGTTAGAATCAATTCCTGAATATGTAAGAATATGGGAATTTATCCAGTCACCTTCATCCTGCCAAAAGGAAATGACCTTTTAGCGACTGATACATTGGAAAAAAGTTTTGTTTTCCAGTTTTGAATTTCACCTGTTCAGAAAAGGCCAAGAGAAGTGGAGAATATATTTCCTGGCCAACTGTACGACGCCACTTAGCACCATCACCCAGGGGATCTATTCTAAAGTATACTTTTCCTTGGATCTGAAAGATATTGTATAAGAAGTAGATACAAAAGTGGAGTAAATTAGTTCAAATTGACCCACACTGAGGGCAAAGTATGGAAAATTAAGCCTTGATTAATTCTTTGATTTGTTGACATCAGGAATATCGTACTTTCAATTTCATATTTGCTATATCTACAGGGTATTAGTAGAGTATCAATCAGGGATTTGTTAGTGCTGTCCAAAAATATTGGCATTTTAAGTCTTTTCTTTCTCCACATGAAGAATGATTTTCCTCCTTTTTAAATTGGAAAAGCATCAATATCAATAATCAATAATATTATAAAATCTATAGGAAGCCCACTATTCATAAGTTATGAACAATGTGACTCATATTGCTTCAATGTTAGATGAGATGAGTCCAAACTAATGCATTGCATCAGAATTTTTACCAAGGCATGCTCACAAGGCACCAGCCTCGGCTTTATTATTGAGCTGAGATTAATGTCAATGGCCTGATCTGTATTCTACCCCTTGCTGCTTTCACTAGTCCCAAATTCTTGATACCTCCTCCTCATGGACACAAGGGCACGTGCATATGTGTGTGTGTGTGTGTTAACTACCCTGGACTTAGACAGCCATAAATTCGATTGTTCTTACTATTAGTCCTCTGCAAAGTGTGTGTGTGTGTTAGCTACCCTGGACTTAGACAGCCATAAATTCGTTGTTCTTACTATTAGTCCTCTGCAATCATCAACTACACAGATTGTTTCATTTAAAGCCTCCGCAACACCTCTTGAATCATCAAGTAGTAATCTCCTGTCGACAGGAAAGAGAGTGATTCAGTTTTTTGTTTGACAAAAGAAAATTCATTACAATACACGAGCAGAAAGGTGCCCTTCACAAGAAAATAGAAAATTAAGAAAAATATTTATAAAAAAAAAGAATCAAAGTGTAAAAAGCCCTCCAATCTCGTAGCTTATCCATAAGAACTACCCACCAACTAATTATAATAATAATGAGAAAAGAAAAGAAAAAAAAATAGAAGACACAATAAACTATCACATTCCACTTTATACCGGGAAAGAAACCATTCCGAAGACCCTTGTGTTATGCTCCACATGGAATACCAAACCACTGTCTAAGTTGCAGGTCTCCAAGTATCCTCCCGTCAATTCCAATTCCTAAAACCTTTTAATGAAATTTTCTAAGAATTCCTGCCCTTATTACCATTGTTCATCAAAATTATAAAAAAAAAACCTTTACCATGTAGTGCTTAAATAAGAGTAATTAAATTACAAGACCATGTTTGGTGCATGATCAGAATGTCTGGTGTGAGCTCTATCATCACCAATTTGAAACATAGAACTAATCCAATAGCATTTCAGGCACCATAAAATTGCACTTCTATCATGGATTGCTAAGCATAGCAGTGTTAACCCATAACCCCTTTGATAAAACTCCTTCTCTATCAAGTTACATAATTATTTTTTATGCCCTTCCTGAGGATCCGAAGATTTAGATTAAGTGAGACATCACAAAACTAGCAGCCATAAATATCCAAACTAGGGCCATGAAAATAACCGAAAGGGCGTGAAAGATATATCTTAACAGCCATCTGATTATAGCAGCATCTGAAAGGTAATGTGCTTGCCTGTGAACCATTAGCTGTATTTGTCCATCAGCTAAGCTGGATCCTCCTACAGGTCGATCCACCAAAACTGAAAATTCTGTCTTATTATCTTTTACATACATCCCAAGATTAATCTGAAAGGACAAAATAAAAAATATAGTGAATCAAAAAGAGGGATGGTTACTGTTCGCTGTACATTTGCATAATCACCATAAAGAAAGCAACTTGAATTCTGAATTTTGCATGTGAGAGATAAAAGTGATCACAATCAACATAATATGGTAAGATGAGTTGTTGAAAGAAAGTTAGGTGGACCACAGGACTTGGGTCACAGTCTAGCAGTTACATGCAAGACAAAGGTCCCTGTCCCCAATCCTGTAACCATTGTCATCTTACCACTCAGTCCTTAGTGTAGGATTAGATTGTGGCAGGATACATGCAAAACGTGGACCATTAGAAAACATATTACAATAAAGAAAAAGAAAACATCACAGAAGGAGAATTCTTGCTTATCTAGCCCATGGAAATAAATTTGAGAAAATTAATCATTTGGCTCCTTTAGACGTTAGAACATCTCAATTTTCAATTTCTCATAGTATACCTTTTTTTCTTTCTAAAATATTCTTTGTAATTTCTTATGGTTTTAGTGGCAGTCCCAACACTGTGTAAACAATAAAATCCCACTCCCTACCATGTCCACAAGGCTTAACAACATTAATTTTTGGCTAAGGTGGTAAACAATCAGTATACGTGGCTGCCACATGTGCAGCAAGCTTTTAACTTGTGGGCTTAAAGGCACAGGGCAAAGATGTGTTATCATATTGGGCATAACAGGCATGCTTTATATGAAAATGGAAGTTCAGTGGCTTTATCGAGTGAGTATTCAATGTACGTAGTTCAAAGGATTCTCCAGAGCTTAGCATATTGAGATGATATAAGATTTTTAATTAGACTCTCGACACACAGGCTCTGAATCTCAGAGCAGGGAAGGTGGACTGAAACTACTCCTACAAAGATGAAATGAAAGAAGTGTGTTTGCAAAGAATTTCTCAGGTCTTAAACCTAGGACAATGAAATGAAAGAACTGCTTTTCTGGACAAGAAGTGTGTTTGAGACAAAGTGGACGACACCTTCTGATCGTCTTAAACAATCCCAAACCCAATCAATAGTCACAGAAATGTGAACCAATGATGTGTGACATGGGAATATTTTGCAAGTGCAACTAGATAAATTAGCAACAACAATCCTCCAGGTAAGGATAATGCAAACCTAGAACATGAAACATTATAGATTATCTCAAAAGAAATCATGTGAAATAGTTCACATACAGGATAGTAGTTTCCAGCAATAGGTTGGTTCACTTCCAGGTCCCAGTCTGATCTATAATCACGTATCTGCAATAAATTCCATAGTTCAGGTTATGTCCACCAGGTCCCAAAAAAAAAAAAAAAAGTTATCCCAAAATATCTGTTCCAGGAAAAAAAAACAAAACTGCCCCATATACCAATCTGTGAGCAACCTAATATGAAGAGATTTATGCTTCTAATGTTTTAATGACTTTAAACTGGTGAAGGGAGCAGATAAATGTTCACAAATTAACTCGTGATTGAACCAGCAATACAAGACATCATTTAATGATGTTTCATTGAGAAAAAAGCAAATATGTGCACGCACTGTGTA